GTGGATTCCACTTTGTGGCCCCATTTCTTGAGGTTGGCTCTGCATCTCGTGGTGCCAGAGCACAGTCTGTTCAGCGCCTTCCAAGTCGCCCTCTGTGAGCCCAGGGGGGAGTCTCTCATCTGGTATCACCCATGGATTGAGGTGCTGGGTTTGAGCCTGCCACTTTTGAACTCTCGCTTGCTGAGGTGTTCCAGCGAGTGTCTCTGTAGATCTGAGGATGCTTGCCATAGATGCAGGCGAAACGTCAGGAGAGAATGCCTCTAGAACGTGGCCATATAGCCCGAAAACACCTACAACAACCCAGACCTCACAGTCTCTGAGGATACTTGACATAGATGTGGGCCAAACATCAGGAGAGAATGCTTCTGAAACATGGCCAGACAGCCTGGAAAACTCAGAGCAACCCAGCCTGATATTTGTCAGGGTCACAATGCTATGCAAATAGTGCTAATGACATGCAAATTAGCAGCAGCTCTTTGGCTTTGGATGCACTTCCCTCGTGGCCTTCAAAAACCTAAGCCAAATTGATCATTTTTATAAATGCATACAAGGAAGGGCTGAGAAGGGGAATATATGATATGGAAATGCCAGCCCTGCAATTGTTGGATGTTGACAGTACAATTACTATGTCCTTCCACCAACTCATCATATATACATTTGCCGTAAGATCTTTCTCTTTGCGAAGGCACCCGCCCGCCGTGGTGCAAAACCCATGTTGATTTTAAGCCCATTGCAACTGTTATGAGCACTTTAAATCCTGGCAGCCTGCTGAAAAATCCACTCTACATATATATCTTCCCACACTAATTCCTTTGAAAATGTTGCTTTTCACATCAGTCAGGATGTTTACATTGGCGAAGTCGTCTCGGATAGATTGCCTAAATCTTGTCGGATTGAATTTTGTCAATCTTTGCACCATTGATGAAGCCGGTTTTGTGGTTGTATCTGTTAACAAGAGTCTTCTGGACGCGGTGGCGGGATTATCTTGTTATATTTAGAATCCGATTAGTTTTGTGATATGAAGAAGCGGCGTCCGCTCCATTTGCTCCAGAATAAAACCGTTCTCATTAAATTAAGACAACGTTTCCTCCCATGTGGCAACCACTGTTCGGCACATATGTGTTCGGTACATTTCTCCATAATTCTTGCCAAAACAAAGAGAGAGAAAGAGTCTTTAACAGTGTTTGTATGTATACCTATATAAATCTATGTCTGCATTCGCAGTAATAAAATACTTGAACTATTGTAGTCTTCCCAGTATTTTGGAAAACAGCCATAGAGATCCTGTCTATGTTAAGTCCACAATTTGGAAGGCTGTTTCTGCACTACTTGGAATGCCAGCTTTCCACGTTCATCTTTTTCTGTATCTTTTCCTTTTCCTATCTCTTTCTGCCTCTTTCTTTTCTTCCTTCTCTCTTTCTTGTCCTCCTTCTGTCTCCTTTCCCATCTATTTTTTTCCTCACCTCCTTTCTTTTCCTCCTCCCTGTTTTTCTTTCCTTTTCTACTCCCTTTCTCTCCTGGTTTTTCTTCTCCTCTTTCTGTGCCTTCTCTTCCTTTACTGAATTTTCCTTCTTCTCTTTCTCCTCCACTTTCTCATCTTTTCTTCTCCTCTTTTCCTTTCTTCACCTCTTCCTCCTTTCATTTCTCTTTCCTTTCTCTTCCTCCTCTTTTCCTTCTCTCCCTTGTCTTTTCTTGTCTTATCTTCCTTTCCCTTCTTTTCAATCTCTTTTCTTCCTTTTTTCTTTCCCTTTTCTCTTTCATTTTCTTCTTCCCCTTTTTGTCCCTCCCTTTTCTCTTTTCCTTTCTTCACCTTCTCTTCTTCCTCCTTTCTCTCTTTTCCTTTCCTCTGCTTCATTTTCTTCTTTCCTTTCTCATTTTCCTTCACCTTTCCCTTCCTTTTATATCTTTTTCTTCCTTCATCTTCTCTTTCTTCTTTCCCCCCTTTTCTTTTTGCTTTTTTCACTTTCTTTTTCTCCTTCCCCTTCTTTTTGTATTTTCCTTTCCTCTCCTTCCCTTTCTCCTCCTTCCCCTTCTCTTCCTCCTTTTTCTTTTCCTTCTCTTCCTCCTACTCTTATCTTTCTTTGCCTTCTTTCTCCTTCACTTTCTCTTCCTCCTTTTTTCCTTTCTTCACCTTCTTTTTCTCCTCCTCTTTCCCTTCTCGTCCTCCATTTTCTTTTCCTCTCCTCTCCTTCATTTTCTTATTCCTTCTCCTTTTTCTTTTGTTTTCTTCCCCTTCTGTTTCTCCTCCTTCCTCTTCTCTTCCTCCTTTTTCTTTTCCTTCTCTTCCTCCTTTCTTTGCATTCTTTCTCCTT